GCGGTGCCAGACCCGCCGGGCCCGGGAGTGCCCTGCTTGACAGCGCCGGGGGCTGCGGGGGGCGTGGGTTTGGGGTCTGGTTCTGCCGGTGGCTGCTCCGTTCCCAGGCTATTGGGAAGCGACGTTTCCAGTCCCTGCCCTTCGGCTTCTCCGTCCAAAACGTATTGCTCTTCCCCTTTCTCAAGGGAGCCAGTGACTTTCTTGCAGGCTTTAGTCAGCAAGAGTTGGCCAATCTTGTCTACCTTGCCCTTCCCCTTACTGGATGAAACGGGGCTGCGTCTGTTCCCAGAGCCTGGGCTGCTGGTGAGGAGAGGTGACACCACAGGGCCCGGCTGTGCCGCTGTGACAGGGCACTGCTCACCCGACCCGCTGCCTTGGTGGGCCTCCTCCAGGCTGAAGTCTTTGCCTTGCTGAGCAGGAACACTGGAAGAAGTTGTAGCGGGAGAAGGCAGCTGAGCAGGAGGTGCCAAGGGACTGAGAACAAGCGGCCGGCTGGTGGGAACACTAGGAACGGGGCTGCTGGATGATGTGCTGGGGGGTGTGGGCCCAGGGAACTTGATACTCTGTGGTAGATGCAAAGGCCCAACAACTGCAACTGACTGAGGCATCAGACTAGAGTTAGAAGTCATGGGGGCTGCTGGGATCGCGCTGGACTGAGAGCCCTTCATTACCTGAATTATGGAGGACGAGTTGATGAAGACGGGTGTAATGAACTGTGGCCGCGCGCCAGACTGAGCTGTTGTCTGTCCCTCAGAAACCATCACCTTGTTCCCTACGTTGGGCATTGTGACAACAGTTGACACTAATGCAGGTTGCAAGTGAGATGGCAATGGTGCTGATGTATTAGCAGAAGATGTAATAGGGTTTGACGTTACAAAAACTGTTATCTGGCTGGGGGGTAAAGGACCTGAAATGGAGGAAGAGCTGACAGGTCTCTGCATTACCGGAGGAACACTCTGTGCAATGGTTGAGTTTACTTCTCCCGGTTCCTGGTGCCCTGGATTGGAACAGGGCTCACTGGTTTGAGGTAAGCTCAGGGAACTAGATGGCTCTTTGCTCGAGGATGAATCCTGCAGTGGAGGAATGACAGCTATCTTCTTTAGCTCCTCACCAGTGGTGACTATGGATGCCATTTCGAGTCCAGTCACCCCAGAAGGCTTAATGGTTACATTAGGAGCTCCAGAATTATCCAGAAGTTGACTTAAAGAAGTTGGTGCTTCCCTCATAGCTGGAGATACCATGGTTTTACTTTCCTCAGAGACTGGAAGCTTAGTGGTGTCTGAGGCCTGACTGTCTTTTTTCGACTGTTCTTCTGGAACCAACACTTTCACTTCTGGAGTAGGGATACCTTTTAGTTCAATACTGGGCTGGTCTTTGTTACCTTGGACACTTGGACACTCGTTATCTTGAGGCACACTAAGGGTCTCTTTATTGTCTTCAAGAATGCCAGTTGCAGCAGGTACAGAAATTGCAGGATTCTGATTACTTACCAGGTTATTATTTTGAAAACTTGTAGTCACAGGTGTTGGTAAAGAAGAGGGACCAGCCATCATGTTTCTTTGTAATTCCATGTTCTGCAGGAGAGATGGAGTCTGCTGAGTTGTCAAGGATAATTTAGCTGTTTTGGAATTCTGTCTGCCAGGGCTTGATGTAGTTTTCCTGCTGGATCCAGGACTGGACCTTCGACTATTGCTTGGGCTTGCTCTCTTTGTTCCTCCAGTGTTGGTTTGCTTTCCTGAATTCATGGCCACGTTTTCCAATTTGTGTGACTGAGGAGCAGCAAAACTAGACTGATTGTTAATTGTGAGATTTGACGGGGCTTGTCCAATGGCCTTCAAAGTAGTGGGATTAAGACCCTGCTGATCAAATCCTCTATTGAGATTAGGCCTGGGAGGTAAAGGAATATTAATTTGGGGAGGGAACAGGCCAGCTATAGAAGCATTGAGTCTCTCTGGAGACAGGCTAATTTCTGATGGTTCTGTGCTTGGTGGACGGTTATTAGGAGTCTGAGGATAGTATGGCCTTGGGCTTGCTCTGTTAGGAGTTTTAGGCCTTGAAGTTTGTGATGGGGTGGCAACATTTGGAAAATGGTGTGTAAGAGTGGTAGGCAGAGAATTAGACTGCTGCTGGGGACTTGCACCTTGGGCAGTTGAAAGTGTGGATGGTCCAGGTTTGGGTCCCGTCATCATTAATTGGTTCTGTGAAACTACTAAATGAGACGTCAAATTATTCTGACCTCCTGATGCTGGGGGGCCTTCAGCTCCACCTCCTTCTGGAAGGGAGGACACTGATGAAACCTCTCCGAGGGGTGAGCTGGAAGGATTCTGTACAGTATCTTGATAAACCATTTTTCTTGCATTATTTCCCAGAGGAGGATTGCCTGGCAAGGACATTCTTTGTTTATCAGGAGACGGAGGCACCGACCCAGGACCTTGGAGGTTCACCATTACTGGCATGTTACCGCTCTGCTGCATCGGCATTCGCTGGGCGTCTGGGTTCAGAGGCCCTCTAGGTGGGTGAACCCCTTGTGGCACAGGGAGCCGGACTGATTTGGGATCCTGCTGCATCATGAGCATCATCATCATCTGCTGCTGCTGCTGTGGGGTTTGTGGGGGTGCCTGGGCTTGCTGTGGTGGTGGCTGTGGCGGCTGCTGCGGCTGCTGTGCATGTGGCATGAGCTGAGGTGGCATCTGCTGAAGTGGCCTTTGTTCCACTGGCTGAGATGGATAACCTAAGATAACAAGACGATACATTAATTAAAACCAAACAAACAGCAGAGAAAACACAATTTCTGCAATGAACGAAGTACAGCCAGGAGCCTGTTGATCTTACACGACACTTTAGAGGTAAAGACAAAGATTTCACTTCATTCTTAACAATATTTTTACTTCATGTATGTATTATGACATGGAATTGGAGATCTCTGTAGAGTAGCAGATCAGCTATTAGCTATTACTCTACATTCATGCCACCTGAAAAATCTCTGCAGCTGTCCCTGGGCTTGCTTTCAATTACAAATGCAGAGGTGGACTGATTAATACTCCTTAAAACAAACGCAGGAGTTTGACAGGCCCTGTGAGGCATGGGCTGGCATACCTGTACCTGTTAGAGATCTTCCACCTTCCAGTCTACAAAGCAGAATCTGCCATGTATTAGTTTGCCAAAAATGGTGCCAAGAATCACCTGTGTGGCTTATAATATAAAGTCTTCTGTGGACTTTGCACTTCCCTATGTGCAAAGGGTATTTCCAACTGCAACTCCTGTTTCTTAATGCTGGAAAGTCACCTACTGGTTAATGCTGAATTTTCAAGGCATCAGTCTGTGATGCAGCTAGAAATACACATTTCTTTAACAATTACGTTAGTGCTGAATAATTCAATGTGATGCCTGGCGTGATACACAAGAATGTTGCTACCTCTTCATTTTGAGTTAATTCAAAGAAAACATTTAAACAAAGGAACCAATTAGTTTTTGACTTGAAAGTGTGATAAAACAAATAAAACAGAACTGCCACAAAGATCAGGAAAAGCTCTCCCATAGTTGTTAAATACAGATAATCACAGAAAAATCCTACTACCTGGTGGCCTACTTGCAAAATCTGTAAGTTTAGGGCCTGAATTATCTAAAGTCATTCCTTGTTCTCCAGACATCGACGACTGATCACTCTCCTCCAGGCCAGAGGAACGTGGTTCTGAAGCACTGAAAGAAAAATCATTGCAATTAAATCAGTGTTTAGCTTCTGCTTCTATAACTAAGTAATTAATTGCTAGCACTTCTCCCTGACCTGCAGGTAACTCACTGAAGTGCACCACTGCCTCGGGTGGAACATGAAAACACAAGCAGAGCCCAGTTCTGCCGACAGTCACTCCTGCACCTCAAATGCTACCGAAAGGGAAACAAGTTGCCTGGTGCTCTATTCATCTGAAACATCTCCCTCCTTGGTTTCTACCCAGTTTTCTAAGAGGATGCCAGTGGATATTCCAAAAAGATACATACATTTAAACTAAACAGGCTTCTCTCTGCTGCCACACTTTGTCCTGGTTTTGCTGGGGTAGAACCACAGAACCAATTTTCAGTTCAGAAAAGCTGCATTTTTGAGAAGAATGCAGCTCTCAATTTGGTGAGAACAAAGTTGATAAGACACTTTGTTTTAGTTTGTGGCCCGCCTGGGTATGCAGGTTTCCATAGTGATCAAGGTCTCCAGCAATCTCCAGCCAGCTGGTGCTAGGGTGAGGAGCAGTGAGAGCCCAGCAGCTGACCCAGGCTGGCCAACAGAAGTGATCAGGCCAGAACATCATGCTTGGTATGAACTGGGAAGTTCCTAGGGACTGCTCTTGCTCTCTCTCTCTCTCTCTCAGTGGCCACCATCCCTGGAGGGTCTCATCTGTCCCTCTACTCCCCAGACCCACTCTCCTGCTTGCTGTGACCATCTGGCTGGAACTATGGTGCTGGCAGGGTTCCACACTTGGCATCCACTGCTGGGAACGCATCACTCACAACCATGGGCATGGGCTGAGTATAACATTGTGTCCTTTATAAAAGTATGTTATTTTATTAAACGTTTCCATTTTAATTTACAGGTATCTTCTTTTCCAATTCCAGATTCCCACCTCAAGTGGGGAGAGCTTGATGGTGCTAGAAGAGCTGCTTAACCCAGATACAGATAAGTAAGTATCATCGGTAGATGCACATAAATAGCTAAGTTTGTATCAAGCATTTTAAGTCATGCACCTTTGTGGGATACTGGGGCTCTGTAATTATCATAGAGCACAGAATGGTTTGGGTTGGAAGGGACCTTAAAGATCATCCAGTTCCAACCCCCCTGTCACGGGCAGGGACAAACCCCACCAGCCCAGGCTGCTCCAAGTCCCATCCAGCCTGCCCTTGGACACTTCCAGGGATGGGGCAGCCACAGCTTCCCTGGGCAACCTGGGCCAGGTTCTCACCAACCTCACAGGGAAGAATTTATTCCTACAATCTCAACTCAATCTCCTTGCTTCCAGTTTGAAGTCATTCCCCCTCAACCTATCACTCGATGCCCTTGTAAGAAGTCTCTCTCCAGCTTTTCCTTCTTGAGCTTTCTTTCTTTTCTCTCTCTCTTCCTCCCCCCTTTTCAGGTACTGGAAGGTGCTCTCGGGTCTCCCTGGAGCCTTCTCTTCTCCAGGCTGAACACCCCAACTCTCCCAGCCTGTCTCCAGAGCAGAGCTGCTCCAGCCCAAGGATCATCTCCGTGGCCTCCTCTGGACTCACTCCAACACCTCCATGTCTGTCTCACACTGCAGGCCCCAGAGCAGGACCCAGCCCTACGGGGGGGGGCTCACTGGAGCCCTGCTGGTCACACTGCTGGGGACAGCCCAGGACATGGCTGGTTTCTGGGCTGCCAGTGCACATTGCCAGCTCATGTCCAGCTTTTCATCCACCAATACCCCCAAGTTGTTCTTCAGGGGTACTTGATGCTTCAGGGAACTCTCTGGGACAATTAAAAACTGTTCAGAATCAGTGGCAAATAATTCATAGAATCACAGACTGATTTGGGTTAGAAGGGACCTTAAAGATCATCTAGTTTCAAACTCCCTGCATGGGCAGGGACACCTCCCACGAGGGGTGGGGGTGTCTTCCATCAAGATAACTTTTGCAGACTTAGAAAGCAGCACGTTTGGATAGCAATCAATATATATGGTCAGAGGATGCAAGAGAAAGAGGGATGGAGAATAAAAGCCCTTCACTGCTTCTCAGATTCAGGAACGTGTAGGCTGCAGGGAAGCCTACGTAATAAAGAGCTCTTGAGTTACAACTACAGACAAAATAAGCCCACTGCCAACACAGAGGCAGAATAATGCAGAAATCTCAAGGACAAAAGCCATGTTCAGCAAAAGAAGAATTTGAAGTAAATAAAGGCAGAGAGATCTGTCTTAATTATACTTGAGAGTAACAGTTTCTGGTATTTCTAGAGCTGCCATGGAGAGAGCCTGGCCTGTTCTAATGTCCTATTAACTCCCTAACCAACATTCAAAACAGTGTGTGAATTCCAAGTCTCTGAACTTGCAACTGGTCAGAACTGGGGAGAACATAAAGCAAGAGGGAAGCAAGGTAAGAAATGGGACAAACACAGAACCCTTCCAAGCACTGCTGCTCAGCAGGCAAAGATTGCCAAGGAAAGTAGCTGGAGTTAAACCTTTGGTCTAATCCAGCAGACCACCAGTTTTTGTCATGCAGTTGTCATAGGTTTGCATGCTTCCACCCAGAAATATGAAAACTGGCAAAATGCATACAGGTGCCCCAAAAGCATGATATCAACAGCCACAAATGAACAAAAATGTTGGCAACAAAAGCAACCAGAGGAGCTTCAGCCTTTGATGCAGATGCCAGAAACATGACTGGGAATAACTGCCTGCAACGATTAATATCATCTTACATTTGTTATTGTGCCATTTATCATTTCTTTATAGTGGTGGGAGATCAAAAAAATGCTAGAAATACAGATTAGCTAAAAAGCAGATGCACAGCATCACTGTACAAACAGGTTTCATCTAGAAAACCATCGTGGTGGAAAACCAATTCTTCAAAACCAGCTCCAGGCATCTGTGGCAAGCTGTGCAAACCCTGCAAAGCACACAGGAGTTTTGGTGCTAGCAAAGAGAAGCAGCTTCTGCAGGCAAGACTGCTGGAAAATGTAAACATAATCTGAATTTTGAATGTAGTTGAAATTCACTGGGCACCCAAATTCTGAACATAACAAGCAAGATGAGAAGTTTATGTGTGAGACACAAATATTCCATATTTCTTCTTCTCTCCTATTGCTCTGGATGTAAAAGAAAAGCAAAGCTCAACTGCACATGAGGTACTGCATATTGTTGTAAGTGAACCCCTTCCCACCGCTGTTGCATTCTCAAGCATGACCTTCAGATACAAAATCCCTCAGCAGAGAGGGAACTCCAGAAGTCAAAGAAACTCCAAAAGCAACAGCACACCCCAAAACCCAAACCTTAAAAGGGTTGCAGATGCTGAAGGAATGTATGCAAAAATAAAATTCAGTACAGGTGAAGCAGAACCAGCCCTGCTGACAGCGTACAATGTTCTGCAACAACTTCTGCTTTTCTAGAAAGGCACGTGTCCTCCGGTGCTAAATGAGTTTCATCTCCCACAAGTCCAGGAGAGCTGGCACCTCCAGACCTGTGGTTAAAAGCTTTTGGAATCTGGTTGAGAAGAGCACCTTGATGCTGCTCCCCTCTGTACATCACACCTCACCCTGGTCCTACCCAGAAAGACCTTACTCTGGTGTCACCAAGGTGTCCTGATTTGAGCCAATAGTCAACAGTGACACAAGGGCACTACTTCTGTTCCAGCAGGGATGTTCAGAGTCTGTGCACAGGGGAACATCCCACAACTGTGTGGGCATCTATTTAATCATATTAACTAACAGGTTTTATCTACAATCACATTTCATCTTTTTTCCTTCAGTTTACATTCCATTACCTACACTATTAAGGTTCAGAAAACAGATGCAATCACTTTTGAACAACCTACTTTTCCAAAATGTCTTTGTTTTCATTCCAGTGCCGAGTTGCTCAATTTAGCAAACCCTTAAACTATTTTAGACTCCACTGAATAAACTCTGTCAATAGCTCTCTTATCCTCTTTACATTTCAATATGGCTCAGTCTAGAAACCTTATTATTATTGGTACTTTTGTTGGTATATTATCTCTCATAAATGATTTCTAAGAAAAAAAACCAACAAAATTGTTTTTTAGAGTATTTATCAGATTGGCTGAATTTCCAAACAAAGTTTGCTGCTCTAAATTCTAAAATATATGAGGAAAAATTACAGAGAAAAAGCTGGGATGAAAAGCATCCTTCCTGCTTCTGACACCAAAGAAAGTGATCCACATCAGAATTAAAAGAATCAGCAATTCCAAGAAAGGAAATTCCTTGCTAGGGAAGCCAAGAGCTTTACAGCCAGCTTTCACTGCAGTCACCCTCCTTTTCCTGGAGAAGAATTTCAAGTTTTATCAGCATAGTTCCCTTCTTAGTGGTCCTGCAAGGACAAATTGATTAATATGTATATATAACCCACTAATAACCAGAATGCTAATCCATCTAATTGCCAAAACAGCATTCTGCAGGTTGCTCTGGCAAGTGAAAGGTCACTGAAAATAAGTGACAGAGTAAGTACAAAGTGGTGTTTCTTTTGTTAAGTACACTGAAATTTGATTAAATGCTTCATTGATGAGCTAGGAATTCCTTCGAGTTGTCACAGCTCCACAGAAAAGTTGCAATTTAGGCTTAATTTATTGTGAAGTATTTTTAACAACCAAATAGTCTTGTGAGACTTTGTAAGCTCAGAGAAGAGCTTGAAATATCCCTTTCTTGATATTCCTAGGCTGAAGCTGCCTGATCATCAGTAAAATCAATAAAAACAAAAACCTAATGGGGCTTTTCTTTAATGATTAACAGCTTTTCTGTTCAGCAGAGAGTGCTAACTCGTCTGCTCCCCCTGAATCCCTTATCATTTCCGTGGCAAGACAGCTCACTACAGTGGTGGTTACTATTCTTTTATTGGAATCTATATAGAGTGGAAACATTTTATTTGTAATTTTTTTTACATAGCACCAGATCTTTCCTACCTAGAAATACAAAGTTATTTTTATCTTTGATTTGGGGGGGAAAAACCAACCCAAACCAACCCCAAATTTCCATAAAAGATGCAGATGACTAATAGTGACACAAGGTTTGCATGTTTTACTGCAACTGATCAGCAGTGCCTACTGGTGGGATATGAATGGCTGTCGGGTAGCTGCTCCCCAACAGGAATGTTTTTAATACAAAGAAAAGACATTGTTACTGTTTGAAGACACCTGCATAGCTTTGAATGTCAGGTGAACAAGGCAGGAAAATACCTGCTTGCTATTTAAGACTCTGTAGGATCTGATATCTCAAAGTCAGAGGCTGCACATTCTACCATTATGCTACTACTGTTCTTTACAGCTGGACCATACACTACTTGGTGCAATATACTGTTACAAGCTATTCCTGCCAAATTACTTGCACTTCAAATCTCTGGAATGGCAAAGACATCTCCATGCCCCCATATACTTCCCGTTCCACACAGCCAAAAAGGGTCAAAGCTAGAAAGCTCGGCACATTGTCACCAGTGGTGCTCTGATAATGGGACTTATAACCAAGCTGGAATATTTTCATGTTTGTGATTTTTTTTAAATCTTGAAGACTTGCCAGTGGATTATCATTTAACTCTTGAGAGAAACTGCTAGAATGTAAAATAATACAGGTCCTTTCTCACCCCATACTTGCTGAAAAAACACTGACAAGTTGCCTGGGGAGCTTCCCCATGCCCCATATAAAAACTATGTAATATTCAACCTACGTTGTTTGTTCTAGTTGTTGATTATTTTTCTTCTTCCTTGGAGGCTTCTTCTTCTTTGGCTTGCTGGCATTCTGATTGTTTTGTTTGTTGTTCACACCAAAGTGTCCTGCTGATATATCACTTTGTAGAAGGTTAACCAAGAGCGGACTTGTGAGCGTAACATCTTTATTGACAGGAAAAACAGGATTCTGCCCACAGGAAATCTGATTCCCATTTGGCGTTCCACTAAAGCCCGTGTTGAAAGGCAGCCCATGGCCTGAGAAATGACTCCCTGAAGTGTTGTTGTTTCCTTGCATTGCTTGCATATGGGAAGGCACCATGTTTGACTGCTGCACAGGAACATCAGGTAACATCTGCGTCAAGTTCACATCATTATTTGCTGTAGTAGTAGTATCCCCAAGTTGCTGAGATACATGAGGACCAGGTCCAGTAGGTCTTAAAACTTGCCCTTGAATTCCCATAACCTGAGAAGGATTACCATTCACAGGGCCCTGCTGAGCCATCATCTGCCCAGTGAATTGCACCATGTTTCCTTGCATGTTTGGGGTTGGTCCTCTCATCAGTTGAGCTGGCCCCGTCATCACATTGGACTGGTTTTGAGAACTAAAAGGCTGTTTATTTCCTTGCATCTGAGTGGCCATCATCTGTTCCATCATGGAGTTTTGCTGTAACAAGACCTGGCCCTGAGGTCCCATCATCTGATTGTGTGTAGACATCATCTGTTGTCCCTGCTGAGGAATCATCTGTTTGGGTGGGGTCATCCTCTGGGGAGAAGGACCAAGATTTTGGTTTTGTGGTGTCACCATCATTTGGCCTTGTGGCATGAGCTGAGTTCGAGACATTATCATCTGGTTTTGAGGGTTCAGTGACCCCTGAGCCTGGATGTTTACCATCTGGCCTTGAGAAGATACAATTTGCTGATGCATTCCCATAAGTTGAGACTGTGGTCCTTGCTGAGGCTGTCCCTGGATGTTGCCCATGTTAACTTGTGGCACCCCACTAGAACCAGCTTGCTGATTTCCATGAAGTCCCATTAGATTGGTCTGCATCATATTTGGTGGGCCATGTGGTGCTTGCATCTGATTTTGAGGAGGTCCAGATCCTTGTCCACCTTAAAAAAAAATTGCCAGTAAGAATCTGATTGGAGTGGAATAAGAGTTTTCACAACTTTTGATGTGGAGGAAGTACTCAAAAATGGTTCTCCTCCCTTTTCCAATGAACTGGAATATCTGACACATTTGCAGTCCTATGATGCAGTATTTGAGGCTACAGATACATGTTAGTTGTCAAAATAAAACAACACACTTCTCAAAACAAACACTTAGACCAGGACTCCCCTGGACCCCACTGAAGACATAACAGAAATTTAACTGCAGTTATTACCTGTACATCAGTTTGAAAATCTTCCATAATTATCACTTAACCCAGCAGAATAATTCCAAATAAGCTTCAAACCTTGAGGTTATTTTACAATGAGTTAAAATATAAATACCCATGGAATACTGATGAAGTGATGTTACCAGGGTATCTGTAATCCAGACAATAGGCTAATAATCAAATTGTTAAATGGAGACATTTATGAACTAAAGATTTATTTTTTACAGAACTGGCTATAAATAGACCTCCAAAGGAATGAATAAATAACCTTTTCAAAGCAGAACAAGATTATTTTGTTATTTTGCTTCTAAGATAGTAACACAGGTGTTTGGTTTTTTTCTGGACAAGACATTCCTTTTGCATTATATCTTTATTACCCCTGTCTTCCAAATTGCAATGCTACTTTCTTAAGAAATACTCTGATTCAAATACCACAGCCCTAATAAAAAAATTGAAATTTGAAATTTGTTTGAAAACCATGAGCAGCCTTCTGCTTTTATTCTCCTCATTTAACACTAGACACAGGGTGCCCTGCAGCCCCAGCCACCTAACTCCCTAGTGCTGCCAAGGGTTTAATGCTTTGGTATCTGTGTTACCCAAGTCAAGGAGTCATTTTCTGCCAAAAAAATAAAGAACCTGAGGACCCCCCCATCCCAGGCAGACCTGTGTGCTGCACGTTCTGGGCAGTCTGCAGCTGCGGTGCCCCGCTGCTCCCCGCAGCTCCCGGAGCTGTGGAAGGCACCTGAGCCTGCAGGAAGTTCTGGCTTGTCTGGCCCGAGGGGAACCCTGGCGGGAGGCGCTTGGCCATTCCTGAACACAAGAATTGTCTCGTTAGTAAGTATGGAAAACAGGAAGGAAAAAAGAAAGAGAAAAGTGTCCAAGAGGAAGAATACCTTTGAGTGGCATGATCCAGACCTAAGCAGAAATGATTTCTGCCAATATACACAACCCACTGAAGACATTTAAAGTTCTTATCTGTTCAAGAACACTGCCTAACCAGCTACTATGACCCAGTTCAAACTGTAATTTAAGTACAAAGCTTGCCCCACAGAGAAGGTGAAAAGTCTTCGGTTGACTTTTTAGAAACTACAAATTAAAGCAACAGGTGGCAGTTTTCCTCTCTGCTGCATCTCCAGCTCTTATCAGGCCCTTCACTTGCTCCACATATGCAAACAGTAGTTACTTGTGTCTTTGTTGCAGTGGTGTGCTCCTCTCAACAACCTCACCATAACACTCTGGTGCACACTCCTTAGCCCCCCGTTGCACTGCTCCTGGGTGTAAGCAGCCTTAGAGTAACTTCTTGACCTAGAGGGGGCTGAGTAGCCTCTTGAGACATCATTCCCCTCATTGAAGCCCCCCTGCTACTCCTACTGTGACCGCAAGTCACACCACCAGCCCCTGCCTGGCATTACCCACCCTTCAGCAGAGCACACCCCCACCACTGCCCTGGGACAGAGCAAAACCTTCCCTCTCCCCAGCACCCTGAGCAGCAGCACCCCAGGGCTGAACAGAACCCTCTTCCTTTGAACTCACTGTCAAACAGATGGTGTCACAGACCATGAAGCAACCCTGTCCTCCCTGTTCTGACCCACCACCTGTAGTCAGAATTTGACTTGGATTCCTTCTCCACTTACAGCTTCCTTGCACACCTGATTGTATTGCTTGTGTTAATTACTTTGGTCTTAGGTTTGTAATTAAGATTTCAAGATAATCAACTTTACAGGTCAAACAACAGAACACATCTGCAGATATGGACACATACTTCTTGAAACATCCCACCCTTGCACTGTACTTTTAATTCTAGTCAACTTTTAGGAAAGTTTTGCAAGTAGGAATGTTTGAACTGAGAAAAAAAGTGTAAATTTGGCCTATTCCAAATCTAATTCTGATTTGCTAAACTAGCTAGTTGAAATGGGAAGCATTCAAATGTATTCATTTACATCAAATCTTTAAATGCAAAATGGCTTAAAAACTGAAAGGTCTATAACTGCAAATTTATTAACATATTAATTGCAGCAAGGAACATGCATGCACAGGAGCCAGGCAAAGATCTCAGCAAGTGGAAGCAACACAACTTTGTTGAAGCCAATCGAGTCCTGGCTTTTTAGATAAGCTAAGGATACAGCTCACAGCAGGATTATTGATTTTAACAGTAAAGTCTGCAGTGAGTACAAATAATGCATTAGGATAGTTTGTTTGGGTATCTTTTTTAACTAAAAAAAAAAAAAAAGTAGTTTGGTTTGTAGCAGCTTTACTTAGCATAACCTCTGTATGCTAACCTCTGTATCCTTCTTTTCTATCCAGAGGTCATGGCTATGCTACCTAGAGGAAATGACTCCTGAAGGGGACTTATGGCTGGTGAGGCAAAACTGTATAGGGAAATGTGACTATAAAAATTATCAGTACCCTGTCTCCATCTAGAAGAAGTTAAGATATACCAAGTACAGGAAACTGGCAGATCTTAAGAACAGTTTGGAAAAGGATAAATTTGAAACTGAGGCAATTAATGTGAACCATATTCATTCAAATTCAAATGAGACCCATGGTATGAACAGTGAAAACAAGAAGCTTGCCCAGATCAGCAAACCAAGAAATGGGTATTCCTTACACATTCAGATGTACAGAGTGACAATGCAAGGAACTAAAACATATATATATATGTGCATGCGTGTGTGGGTGGACAAAGAACATAGTCATATTTTATAAGCACAGAAAGAAAATACTTTAAAGGCTTAAGCAAGAGCTTGTGTGTGGGTATCTGAGAGCAGCCACTCAAGAGAAAAATGAACAAATGACACAGCAGAGAGAAGTGGTACAAATCTGGCAGAGAACTACAAAAGACTCAAGGGGAAAAAAACACCAAGGACACAAAAGAGATCTTGGGATTGGACAATGAAACTCCTGCCCTGTTAGAAAAAAGAATTCTAGGAGTAGTAAGTAAAGGATGTGAGTGCAGAAGTGCAAGGAGAAAACTAGAGACAACACAACAAAAGGGAAGTTAAAATCTCCCTTGAACTCCTAATTTTAGAATAGGGAGTACAGAGCATGGCAATAATAGCTTCTTCCTCTTCTATATGGGAAGAAACTGATGACAAAGAGAGGGTCAAGAAGAGACACCTACAACTTAGAAAGGAAGATGCAAACTAACACCTCACTTCTGTAGCAGAAAATGTAAATAGTTACAGACAAAGCTGAATAGAGAAAGAGAATGTTCATTTGTTCTTATTACACTAAAAAAATATCCCCTCCCTCCAACTCTCAACAAAAGACCACCACCAAACCAAAAGCGAAAGCCCACAGCATCACTGAATATCCTAAACTTGCCTAAAGGTAACAGAAGAACTGTAAAGAGGAGAACTCCAGGCATAACCAGCAGCTACATGGACCAGCTCTTTCTGCAGTGGCCCAGAGTCTACCTTAGGCTGCCCCTGTGACACTGCAGGACAGAGACAGGCAGTGGAGATGAAGTGATGCTGATACTAATTCACCAGTCTCCCACTATACACTCAGACCTTTATTCTGCTTTTTACAGCATCTTTTCAAATCTAACAGCAACATCAGTTCTAGCCATTTTATGTTTCTTTTCTTTTTAAAATAAAAGGTCTCAGTACTTCTTACCTCCTAAGCCAGGGTGTAAACTTTGTGGACCTTGGTTTTGCTGCTGCATCACCATGAAGTTGGGGGGTACATTCCCCTGCTGCACCATGGGATTACGACTAGGAGAACTGACAGGCTGCTGGAATCCCTGGGGAATTGTGCTACTCTGGGGAGGCCTTGGTCCCATCTGCTGCTGCGGCTGGTTAACTGTTGGAGATGATGCAGGAGATCCCTGCTGGAAGGAGGAGGGAGAGGAAGCAGGAGACTTGTTGGTCAGGTGGGGTTGTTGTAGTGGTGTAGGAACCCGTGAGGGCCCTCCCTGAAGGCTTTTCATTTGAGGAGCAGTAAACTGGCCAGGATTGCTGATTTGGGGAAAGTTTGAGTGAGCCTGGGAAGCTTGCTGGCTTCCAAAAGGATATGGAGGTGGAGGATGAGTTGGAGTTTGTACTGTTGCTAGAGATGGTCTTGCTTGAAGTTGCTGCTGCATTTGTCCAGGTAATGGGGCCTTTTTCCAACCCTGGTTTACTGTCAATGTACCCAGTGCTCCCTGGGTTGGAGGAGGCTGAAGTGCTCCAGCAGGAAGCTGGTTCCAGCCAGGGGGAACTGGAACCTGTGCTGGTGAAGTAAATGAAGGTCGAATGCCCTGCTGTGGCTGCTGATGTGGCTGAGGAGGACGTGTCTGCAACTGCGTCTGCTGCTGGAGCTGCTGAAAGTTGGCTGGGTTCATCTGCCTGTTTACAGGAATTGACTGCATTGAATGGAGCTGGGGAGCTAAAGATCCCGATGGATGATTTTGCTGCTGGATATTTAGCCCAGATAAGAGTGGGTCCATTGCATCTATTAAAATAGCAAAGAAAAGTAAAAAAACATAACCTACTGTAGACAAAACCCACCCCAAACCAAAAGGGTAAGTTCCATTTGCTCACTCTGCATACAAACTCATGCTCCAGTGCTCCCATTTCACCAAAGCAGAAGACAGTGCTTTAGAAGTTTTCATAATGTTTAGGAACCCTGACAAATCAGGTATCATCAATTGATAACCCCTAGAATAACGCATGATAGCTCCCCCGTACTTGTTGGTACAGGCCTTGTACACCCTGAGAACTGTAGAATCACAGAACATCTTGAGTTGGAAGGGACCCCATAAGGACCATTGAGTCCAACTCCATGCTCCTCACAGTACCACCTAAAACTAAACCATACAACCAAGAACATTATCCAGACACTCCTTGAACTGTGACAGGCTTGGGGCCCTGGGGAGCGTGTTTCAGAGACTGACCACCCTCCAGTGAAGAACTTTTTCCTAATGTCCAACCTGAACTTCCCCTGACACAGCTTCATTCCATCTCCTCGTGTCCTATCGCTGGTCACCAGAGAGAGGAGATCAGCACCTCCCCCTCTGCTGCCCCCCTTGAGGAACTTGTAGACTGCGATGAGGTCCCCCCTCAGCCTTCTCTTCTCCAAGCTGAACAAGCCAAGTGACCCCAGCTGCTCCTCATAAGTCTTGCCCTTGAGACCTTTCACCACCTTGGTCACCCTCCTCTGGACTCATTAGTCTGATGTCCTCCTTCTGTTGAGGGTCCAGCCCTGCCCACAGTGCTGGAGGTGGGGCCATCCCAGCACAGTGGGACAGTCCCCTCCCTTGGCTGGCTGACAATGCTGGGCCTGATGCACCCAGGACACAGCTCTTTTGGCTGCCAGGGCAAACTGTTGACTTCTGGTCACCCTGCCTAGTATTTTCCTAATATCCAATATGAACCTCCCTTGGTGCAACTTGATACCATTTCCTCTTGTCCTATCACTGGTCACCAGGGAGAAGAGGCCAACACCCACCTCACTACAAAATAACCCACCTGTTGGGGCTATCAACCCAACCAGTTAAAAAGTGGTAAAATGAGGAATTAAGGCAGTATATTAAGCTAACATTCCCCAAAAATGTAAAACATCTTATGAAAAGAGCTTTTACTAAGAGCAACCACTGCAGAGGTCTCCAGAAGCTGGAAGTGCTGCCACCATCTTATTGAGGAATCTTCTTCTGTAGTTCCAAAATGCAAGTAACTTGTACTGGTAGAATTGTGAAGAGTAAACCCTAAACACTCACACACCCCCAGATCCTCAATCCTTAAACTTCCAGCCCACTTACCCCTCCTGAAAAGCACTTGTGCTTAGTCTGGTGCACATGATTCCTACCAGAGATGTCTACCTCATCCAACCAACCTTCATCTTAACCTTTATCTAAACACTGAGCTCAGTCACAACAACCCCCTGCAAACATATCACTGCTGCTGCTCAATGCATTTGATCAAAACAGCCAGCAAGCTGGTGACTTATCAGGCACCCCAATTACTTGAGAAGTTCGTTCAGATTAATGGGGGACTCTTCCACAGAAAGAGTAACTCCCAGGAAGCGCAGGGGGAGTCCGGGACAATCCTGGAGTACTCTTATGAGTACATGCTCAAGCCTGTGTGCTGAAGAATAACAAGTGAGGAATATTTTCAGATCAGTACTGTGACTGTTTTTACCACCTGGCTGTGAGGAAGGCCGAGGTGTTCTTGGCTGCAGCTCAGCACTAGCACCACCTGCCACCATAGAGGAGGACACATTTCCACTCTGGGACATCATGACAGCTGCAGCATTGCTCATTCTTATTAAACCTTAAAAAATAGAAATAAAAATTATCGAGTCTTGCAGTTTTTACACAGAGAAAAAAATGAGGTTTTTTCCATAAAAAATTAATTTTTCAACAAAACATTTATTGAAATGTCAAGAATGATTTGTCTGAAATAATCTGAGGACATGTACCTCTGTCTGAAAGCTTAGATAAATCAAACAAGTTAAGGTGATGTTGAAACCAAACCTTTAAAAAAGGCTCTAGACACTGCAGACTCAGGGATTATTTGAGCCTGCCTTGACACAACTCACCAGGTGACAAAATTGTATCCAAGATATACACCTACCAGGGTTTTTGCAAAATCTGGTACTAGAAAGTAACAGGTGTTTGTAAGAAAGAAAAATGTCAATGTTTCACTTTCACAGGCTCCTATTCCATAAAATATTGCTGACCTGTTTGCTATATTGTTGTTATATTTATACCATTTATATTTATCCTGTTGACCTGCAGACAGGAAATAAAACTCCTGATGATCACAGGGAAGATCAGAGCAGCTGCTTTCAAATTAAACCTTTATTTACATGTTTTACACTCCTTGTTAGGCACAAGTAGTTAACTACTGTTTAATCAGGTTTCTACAGAGGTGAAATGTTCTTTCAATTCCTTCCCAGCAATAGCCACACATGTATCTTACATCAGCTCTGACAAAAAATGTTCCCAGGGTTTTTTTTTATTGCTTTAATTCTATTTACTAAGATACTAATTATTTTGCCTTCATATTCAGGTCTTAGAATAAATTACAGAGTAGCTTTCTTTTAACACTTCATAAAATCTAACTTTTGTAATTAAATGACTTATGCATATACAAGTGCTCTAAAAGGTAGAGCTGAATAAAAATACACCTCTCCACAAAAATTAATTTTCTATAATCAGATCTCAAAAGTTTATCAGGAAATAAAATGGCTAACAAGGTGGCAGTGTCCTGTCCTCCCTAAAGTTATCATGGATTTAATCTAAACCAGTTTATTATTGCACACTGAGTGAAGGCTTATGCTCATTTTCAGAAAGGCAGCCAAGCAGAAACCTGTGATCATTTGTGCACATTTCAAAGTGATTTCACTAAACAATGCAAAACACCAAAAACAGCCCCCAAATTGCCAAACCCTCAAAAAAACCCTCAAACCAAACCAATCTGCTCCTCTACCCAATTCATTCCAATGTTAGTTGGACAAAATGCAGCCAAGTATTTAGTTTACGTAAGGTGGGATGTGGTTTGACAGTGCAGAAACAAGAACACACTAATTAAAATGGCAATTCTAATTCTGCAAACAATAGTGAAAATTAATTACTAGCTTAGTAACAAATTTCAAAGTGTATCAAGCTAAACAAATAAAACCAAGAGGATTTTACCTTGTCCTCCTTGCATGGGGAAGCCAGTTTCCATTCGAAGGGCATTGCTTGCTCCCAGGGGCCCGTTGATCCGGACATCCTGGCTTCTGTTCTGAGCTAAAGCTAAATTGATAGCACCTTCCCCTAAAAATAAGGCAGTTTGGGTGAACTGAATGATACAAAGAAAAGCAGAAAATAGCCATTTTCAATAGGATATCTAGAAAATGTCAACGAAGGAAGGACAAACTTTTCCTATAGATGGACAGTTACGGGTCACACTACCCTGCTCCTCTGGATTTCAATTTTAAGAAAAACTAACATCATGACAAGCATTAAATGCCCTTGGCTTCATCCTGAGTGTGCTCTTGGACAAGTGTCCAGAATGGATATTTTAATTGTGAAATCCACTGATAATTTGTTTTGAAGAAAGCCTCATATGAAACAATTACAGGGAAAAAAATCATAGATAGGTTTGGGTTGGAAGCAACCTTGAAGACCACCTAGATCCAAGCCCCTGCACGGGCAGGGACGCCTGCCCTTCCCAGACCAGGTTGCTTAGAGCCACACCCAACCTGCCCTTCAACACTTCCAGGGATGGGGCTTCCACAACAACCCTGGGCAACCTGGTCCAGTGTGTCACCACCCTCATAATAAAGAATTTCCTCCTAATATCTAATCTAAATCTCCCCTCTTCAAGTTTTCAACCATTGTCCCTTGTCCTCTCACTACATGCCCATGCAAAAAGTCTTATAGGGCACATTTTGCTAACACTCAAAAAACATTTTTCAGGAGGTTTCCTGATGCTCAGAGAATTTTCAGCTCATTGTTACCATTAAACCTACTCTTGACAGACTACAAGTCTTGAGCTACCTTTTCACTGAAGTCATTCTCCAAATTACTAAATTAGAAGCTTTGCATCATTAACAAAGAACAGAAAATCGCTTGCTGAGTATCATTAAATTAGAAGCTTAATGCCTTTGGAAGCAGATTGAGTGTGAAATACCTTCAATTTGAACAGAGAGAATCCCCAGGTCCCGAAGCTGTTGGTTATTGCTCTGAGCCAGAACTCGCAGCCGCTCCGCAGCTTCACGGGGGATGTTGAAGGTAACGCGGACGCTGTTCCAAGGCTCGATCTTCTGTAGCTTTAACTTGTTGGATTCTTGAAAGGAAAACAGAGTCAGTGCCAAGGCAGTTTTCAAACAACTACGATGAAATAACTTGGTGAAAAAAAGCAAAGCTGAAAAAAAAAACAACCCCACCAAACCAAAACAATTATTTGGCTTTGAAAATCTTGAGTGGTTGGTGTCAGGCAGAGGAGACTTCTCCAACACAGGCACATGGTGCCCAACACTACCAAAACACCTTGGGTACATTCCAAAAATTCACTATGTAAAAACTACCCACTTGAGAACAAACATAACAGGCAACACAACCACTTCATAACATTACTCAAAAAATGGAAATATTCTGTGGATAAGCTACTTTAGAAACATAAAACAGATATAGTGAATCTGGTAGCAAACCAGATACATGAAAAAATAAAACTCCTAATTCTTAAACTACTCACTTGACAAACACTTGACAGTGCCAACAGAGTCCTAACAGTAGTTCATTCATTTCTAATGTATTATTTAGTATTTTCTGAACAGTTGTGTTCAGTCCACTGTAAAAACCACATCTTAAATTAATGCCAAATATTTAGTCGCCGTTTTTCTGAAAACCTGTTCTACAGGTGAGTGTTTCTACATAGATCAAGTGTTCAAAAAGTAACAAGTGGGAACCAGAAAAATGTCAGGCTGCCACGTTGGTACCACTTCTCTGAAGTGGTACCAAAGTAAGTTATTGCTACTAAATGCATTTAAGGATAATTTTTTTAAATATATGTCTAATACAGGTTTATAAGTGTGCAGTTTCTAGCTTTGGGAAGAGGAAGTCTCTTTGAAAACAGGCAATGTTGGCCCAAATTTTTATCAGCCAGTTATCAGATTTACTAAAAGTTTGTTGACTTTCTGATTCTGAAGAACAGGCCATTTAAAAACTGAGTAACTTATTCCTATTTAGGAATCTCTTGTCCCCCAGGTCCTCTCTGCACCTAAAGTAACAGTATTAATAGATTCATCCTCTTTCTACCTATAAACACACTTTTGGCCAGAAACGTGACAGAAGCAGTTTCAAAACTTCCATTTGTGGAGGTCTGAACAGTCCTGTATCTACTGTTATTAATGTTCCAGTATTATACACATTAAAATTGAATTATCAGTTTCAGTACTTCTAGACACAAGAACTCACATCTCTTGGTTTTCAAACATTCCATCTGCCAAGTCTAAACCAATGTTCTTCACCCACCCAAGATTCTGAATCAGTTTCAGTAATTGTCATATGGATAATTTTCAAATTAATTTGATGCTGATTGTAAAACTTTGCTTTCTGCTTTCTCAGCTGATATCTGAACCACAATTATTAACCCTGCCATGAATATTGATAACAAATCCAGCATGCAGATGCCTTTGTATAATCAAGGCAACTCCATACACTGTTCAGTCTGCACTGAATGTGCTTCCATTCCAAAACCACCCAGTCAATCCATGAGATGAACACATCTCCTTCTGCACCAGTCACTGCCTGCTTCATGAGTTTCCGTAAGGCCAAATGTTGGGTCCTGCACTTTGGCCAAAACAACCCCAGGTAACACTACAGTCTTGAGGAGGAGTGGCTGGAGAGCTGCCCAGCAGAGATGGACCTGGGGGTGCTGGTTGACAGCAGCTCAACATGAGCCAGTAATGTGCCCGGGTGGCCAAGAAGGTCAGCACCACCCTGGCCTGCATCAGGAACAGTGTGACCAGCAGCACCAGGGAGGTGATCCTGCCCCTCTGCTCAGCCTTGGGGAGGCTGCACCTCGAGCACTGGGGGCAGGTTTGGGCATCACAGGATAGGAAGGATATGGAGGTGCTGGAGAGGGGGCAGAGAAGGGCAACCAGGCTGATGAGGGGTCTGGAGAACAGGCTGAGCTGGAGCTGTTCAGCCTGGAGAGGGGAGACCTCATTGCTCTGTGCAACTACTTGAGAAGTTGTGGTGAGGTGGGTGTTGGGCTCTTCTCCCTGGTCACCAGCAATGGGACAAGAGTAGATGGGGTCAAGCTGCACCAGGGGAGGTTCAGATTGGATATGAGGAAAAATTTCTTCCCAGAAAGTGTTGAGGCCTTGGAACAGGCTGCCCAGGGAGGTGGTGGAGGCACCATCCCTGGAGGTGTTCAAAAAAGGTGTGGATGTGGGGATTCATAAGATGGTTTAGCGGCTGGGGGGTGTAGGGGGGATGGCTGGACTTGATGGTCTTGAAGGTCTTTTCCAACTTTAATGAAGATTTTATGATTCTGCTTCCAACTGTTTATAAGATACAGCTCAAAACAGTGGTATTTCTTCACAGTATTTTTCTTTTATCCCAGCTTTTTTATCTCCCCAGCAAGTACTGCAAGAACTGACATCAGACCAACTGACTACAACTGAACAAAATGGAAAGAGAGAAAAACGTGACCAAGAAATCCAGTCTGGTTATTCAGAAGTCACAGGTTCTTTTTCTGAAGAAGTATTTTACATTATTGAAAAAGCAATGCAATTAACATTTAAAAATCTAATCTAGGAAGGGGGATTCTTCACGGTCCAGTGTAACTTCCAAAGACCATGCACAAGCAGAGCAGCGTGCTGAGATGGGAACCTACAGTTACGAGGAAAAGCTTGGTTCGCTACCAGGAGAAAGGGGGAAAGTAAATGGGCAAGGAGGTGGGTGTTAGCCTGCAGTTACATGACATCATGCCCAGTCAGAACTGGGCTGCTGTGGGCAGAATGTCCAAGGCTCCCCTGGCTATGTGCTCCTGCCACGACATCTCAGACAACCCACCTGGATTCACCTGGTTCTTTAGCAAACTACTAACAGCAACAAATTAAGAGGATGATCTAACAGCAATAGCAGGTGTCAGTTATGTGGGATGAGGGGCCCTGCTGGGGAAACTGGGAGCAGGGAGGGAACACATCACTGATCCCAGCACTGACCCAAACCACCACCACACTGCACCCTTCCCAAGGGAGCGCTCTTCCTTAAGAAAGATTATTCTTGAACAAGCAAGACAATGTAACTGGGCAGCTGTGAGCCATCATGGTGAGACCCTCTGAAAAGATGCTCAGATGGTGGACAAATGTCTTTTTCCAGATCTAGATGCACTGGTAAAAGATGCTTTTGTCCCCAAAAGATGTCACTGTCCCAAAAGCCTGTTGTCACTAACTACACAGCTGTCTCCACAGCTCACTGGGCGTATGAGGTCAGAGCACACCACATCCCCCATCAGAAAAGTAAGAATCAGGTAGGAGAGGTCAGTGTAGCAGCAAAGAGGCAGAAATGTCTTGAACTGACACAGTTACTTAAGAGTGAACCTATCTTCAGGTGAACTGCAGTGGTTAAATTGGATAGTTTTGGTAGAGAAAAAATCTCCTGTGTGGACAAGGCCCACTTCACCTCCATGTGACAGAGCAATGTGTGTGGAATGCTGAAAAATGACAGAGAAAAAAAGCAAGTAAAACATGGGAACTGAATAGGAATAAATGAACTCACTAATGAAAAACTGTAAAACAAGTGCTGAAATCTGTACTCTGTGTCTCTGAGAACAGCTCCCAATTCATTGCAAATAACCCAAACAAATCTTATTACAAAGTAACTCAAAACCAATCTACTTACTTGTACAAGCACACTGACTACGAAAATAAAAAGGACAGGTGAAAAATGACAAGCAAGTACATTACCCATGTGTAAAAGGCCAGGCACATTCTCCAGTATGATCTCCAGTTTCTGCTCAAGGTCTCTGTCACCTATATTTCCTTTAAAAGCCACAAAGATTGTGGAATCCTCAGGAGCAGCCTCCTGTTTCAGTTCATCTTCCTCCAGTCCTGAATCAAAATCCACCTCTAAATCTTCCATAGCTGAGGAGTACAAGGAGGCATATGTATCTTTGACGTTAGGTAGATCATCCAAAACCATTGTTTCCAACAATGGGAACCTGTCAGACATTATGATGATGCTTGGAAAGGAAAAAAAATAATTATAGTAAGTATAATAGTAAGTGTGTAAAGACATTAGCAACTGCTTTTAGGGACAAACAAGATCATTGACAGACAAACCTACCAGGTGACCCAGTGCTAGGGTCTGTGAGACAAACGGTGCAGCTCTGAACCCCGTGGCCATTGCAGTATCCAGGCTGCTCGTCCACTAGAACAGACAGAAGTGGTTTCCTGACAGAATTCTGCTGCACATGACTTGAGCAGTATTCCAGTTGACCTAAACAACAGTGGGTAGAAAGAAAGGCAGAGGGGGGAAATAAAACAAGAAGTCAATGACATTCATCTTCATAAAGTAGAGAGGAGCAGTGAGCACCCAGCACTAATTCTGCAGTGCCCAACTGCCCAGACATTGTAAGACTCACAGAAGCAATCACAGAAACCCCACTAACTACAGATGAAATTTTGGGCACTGCTTTGTCAGCAAAGCTGCAGGAAAGCATAGAATGCTTTTACCAGGAGAAACTTAACATATGACAAGTATTTTACTCACATCCAGGGAAATCTCAGGTGCACTGTGCCTTCTTTCTAGAAGTTTGTAAAGATTTATGTGTTTTCAGCTGCTCATTCACATTACAACCTGAAATTTGCTCCCCCCTGTGCTAACCCACAACTGCCCCCATGCCTGAAGCTTGGAGAAGAATTAATTCAGTAGATCAAGTCACACACCTGATGCCTTTTACATTATAAAATGTCTAGTCATTGCAATAGATTTTACTTGGCATTATGACAGCAAGCTGAGCTGTTATCTCTACAGTAGCACAACCTCTGACAACAGTTATCCATACATCTCTGGTGAATAATTCCAATGTTTATTTAATTGGGAGACATTTTCCCACTCTGACAGAAGCCACCACAAGGCCTATGGCAGTAACTCCTCCAGACCTCTGTTCTCATGCTCAACACTTTGCAAGTGTTGCTAAGAGATTAAAACCATCTCTACCAACAGCCAAAGGTGATGTCAAAACCAAGAGAGGGACTTGCTCCTGAGTACCCCTGTCAAAACCAAACCAGTTTGACAGCCAGGACTACCAAGACCCCATAACTCCAAAGCTGATGGTGCTCAGCACAACCCACCAAAAACGTTTAGTTCAGGTGACATCCCCTCGAATAGGACACAGATTGGGTTTTTGGCAGAGGTTCAAGTTCTCAAACACAAATTAAAACCACAACTCTGAGATCAAAGGAGAGCTGCAGATTCTGGCCAGAAAACAGCCTTTTTAAATAAAGAAGATAACTGTGTTAGACAAACTTGGCTTGAAGTCTATGTTGTTCGCACACTCACATTATGTCACTGAAGTGACAGTATCACAAACAAATACACAAGGACTCAGAAGTCACAAAACACCCACAGTCTCTATGTCTAGTCTATTACTGTGATTTTCTGAAATCCCCTGCAACCCTACGTTACACTAGGCAGGGTAAGTGGCATTAACTAATAATGACCTATTTCCCACCGAGTTCCTGTCTTCACACTGCAGCACCAGACATTCATTCTCAAACACAACTCAGTTAATTTTGTCTCATAACCTCTTCTGCAGTCTTGCAAGAGACAGTGAGAAAAAAAATTTCACAGCCACCGATCTATTTCCATAGTGCTTCCACGAGTTACTTATTATTACCATGGAAATTCTAGAGATGGGGAATAGAGATCAAAATGTTAAAATTCATTACCAGGTGAACACAGAGAGAATTCAAACTTACTTTTTTTTTTTACCCAGACTCTTTGCTGCTCAGATCTGCATCTAAATTACAGGTCTGAGTGTTTGGCACCTCCATTAAGTCCAACTACTCAGTTTCATGTCAGGTGCTCAGAAAATGAGAATGTCAATTAATATCCATCTGTGAAAAAGCTGTTTTAATTGATTTGCACACATAATTTCTTGGACAGGGAACTTCCTTACCAAAGCTGGCCTTACACCAACCAGGACAGAATTCCTTCTCCCTCTGCATTCCTACACCATTCATTACCTATACACTGACTTCAGGGAGAAAGGAGCTGGGAGTCCCATACAAATAATCTTTTTAACAACCAAGCACAGTCATTGTGTGCACTGAATGAGGCAAGCATCCTATGAAATAAAAGAAATATATTTTGAAGAAAATTACAGAGAAAATAATTTATCTGAAAATCTTAAGTTTTTCAAGGAGAGAGATCTCAGCTCAATATACAGGCTCTTGTGTACAGAAAAAGCACAAGGAATTGGGGGGCATGGGGTGTTCCACCTTCAGCAAGAAACATGAATACTTCTGACAGTCCCTGTCAAGAAAGAAATAAATTGTCTTCTGTAAGAACATTTCAAATAATTTTTGGAATTAAGTGTCTGAAGCATCCATCTTCTCTGTGAAAGTACAGAAGACCCCCAGTCTGCTCAAACCATGCTTTTAAAGACGTCACTAAAGTGCTGCAGTTCAGAACCAGATGCCACCAGCCTGGCCTCAATGTGCCAAAATCTGACTGGATTTGTTAAAATTATGTTATGAAATATAGTTTGTTTAATCCTGAAGGCACACAGGCCTTTTTTCCATTTGACTCAGAAAATCATGGAATTGTAGGGTAAGCTTG